GCTGGAAAAGTGGGGGTCGTCTTGTACATGGGGGCATCTTATTGTCGGAAAAATACGGTATCTCCAGGAGCAAAATGAGGCCTTATCTTATGCAGGATGCTTGAACCTATGTGATTCTTTTTTGTTTTAAACTAAATAATTAGTGTGACAGGGCTGAGCCAGACTGGAATCATAGGGGTTTTTTGGGGGGTGGGGGAGGGAGTTAACTTTTTACCCCCACCAAAGAATGCCCCTAATTGTTTCCATGCATGCTAGTAAAAGCTGACATTAAAGTTCCCACAGATCAGTAGGAAATAATCCAGGTTATCTATACATATAGATAGAAATCATTATGCTTGCATTTAGCCTCCTCAGGTGGGCCAATGTATCCAGGGAAAATAACACAAGAAAATCAATATTTGAAGTAATGCCTGCCCATTTTTGTTCCTTTAAGATTAGCTGAAAGTTAACTATTGCTGCCACTCATGGTAGCCTCAATTATATTACCTCAATTATGAGAGCCAATAAACCTCTCAGGGCCTGTTGCCATGAGCTTCTCACATGCATCTGCTTGGCCAAAGTGGAAGTGGATTACTGGAACAGAGAGACCCTCGATCTGATCCAGCTTGGCATTTCTTATATAAAATTGCCAATCTTTCTCTGCCTTGGCTGAGCCCATTATTTGGGTGGGGGTTCTCATGGGTGTCCAGGAGGTGGGCATTATCAAAAAAAAGTCCAGATAGTAGCCAGAGATGTTTGGGGAGTTGGGGGGTTGTTTTAAAAACTATATGATGCCTATTTTAGGGATTTCCCCACTGATTTTGATATTTCCCCTCTCAAAATGGCCAAAAACTGTGTCACCCATTTTGTTCACCTTCGGCAGAAGTAACTCTAGGATCTGGGGAAGAAATGGCCTTTGGGGCTGAAGATTACCTGCCTCTGACCTGGATGAACACTGTTCCTTATTTGTTCTATGGAAAGGCATAATTTCTCTCCTAAGTAGAATGTCCTCACCAGGAAATCAAAGTCCTCGTTTAGTCAAATGCAGTGCAGTAAAGTTGGAGGCTCTCTGAATTAGTCATGTGAATTTTGAGATAAGGGTTTTTTTTAAGCATATGAATACTGATTAATTATTTTATTATGGTCATTTTCTCTATTAACCTGTGTCCTATATCAATTATATTTTAGTTTGCATTTTGGCCTAGGACTACACTAAAGAATGCAGAGAGTTAGAGCTCTTCTGTGGAATGTGTTCTTGTTATATGAGCACCCAGGCCTCAACATTATGAAGAAGGGGTAGCTACTTCCATGCATAACATTGGATCCCATAAGTAGTATGGAATCTTCAGCCGGGAATAATGACAGCATAGCTCTAGATGAATATATAGTTTCCCATCATTACAAATGTGAGTCTTTCTTTGGGATTCTAAAATCAAGAGCAAAAAGAAAAGAAGAAAAAGGGAAAATTTGTCTTCAAAATTCATCAGTCATAGACTATTCCATTATTTATAACTATAGATAATATCATACAACTAATTTGTTTACATTTAAATTAATTTACCTAACTTTAAAAGGAACAAAAATGGCAAGTATCTATCTTCCTGCCTACCTGTAACTTTGAGAGCATTTTGTCTTCGCTCTCTTTCATACTCTTGATAAATCACATTCTCTCACACCCATGCACACTTTCACAGTGTATATACCCTAGTAAATACATGTATATAATCTGAATGCAATTTATATTCTATATAAAACTGTTTTTTCCCTTCTGCGCTGAATTTCTGTCCCTTAAAAGTTCATAATCCTATTTGTCCCTAAGTTTTATATGCTGTCATTTTTCTAAACTTCTGAGACAATTAGAATTTTAATAAATTATTCACATTGCATAATTATATTATAATTATATATAATTATTATATATAATTATATTATAGTATAATTAAATTATATTATCTAAGTAAGTTGTTATGAAGAGTTCATTTCATTAAACTGAGGTTAAGAGGCTTGTCAGTTTTCAAAAAATCTTTCTTGCTCTGTAATGACTATCGAGTTTGCTGAGACGCCAGGGTTTAATGATTTTTTAAACTGAATCTTCCTTTACTTGTATGTTCAACTGGGTAGGGAGACAATTTGTATGCAGATGGTGGAAAACACTTTGAGGATAAATAGATACCTACTGTCAGCCCCACTAGGTAGACCAGACCAGGAAATCAACTCCACTGGAAGGCTAAAATGATCTTTATGGAGGCTGGCCATAATAACAGAATCTTGCAGGTCTGATTGTGCTGTATCTTCTTCCCCTTCTTATACTCCAGTGAATCAAAGTGGCATCTGCCTAAGCCACTTCTGAATGTTAGCTGATTTCTCTGGACTTAGAAACGTTTTAGCCCTTTTTGCCTGGGTAGTGGTTCTCGCATATTTCGGTCAAGGTCACCTTCCTTACAGTACTTTCTATTTCTACCTTGGTTTGGATACTTCTGCTGTTCTCATCTGGTTTGGGTGGATCAGTCTCAATGTGTGGAGTTTGTCTGTGGACATGCTAGGGTGTACGTAGTCCATCAATAACATACAAGACTTTTGCTTTCTGTAGCATATCACATCTAAATAGAGGATACTGACCCAGCTGGGTCTAGCAGATTATAAGGGGCTCTTTGCATGATAAACTTTCCGGTTTAGACAGGTTACAACCATGGTTGGGGCCTTTTCAACTGTGACACCCTGTTTATACAGCATTCTCTGTTTGAAGGGTATATCTTCCTTAATCTCATGTCTTTGTAGGGTCAGGCAAAATCCTTTTCTCAGCCCTTTTAACATATCAATTGAATTATTTTAGCTTGCTGCCAATATTTTTAGCTTATTAATGTGCTGTAATCTAGTGTATTTCTGCTATAATCTTGTTTTCATTTACTGATTGTTCTTATTTTTCTTGGTTTTTAAGTTATGATATAGTGACTACCCGATGAGTAGTCTTGGCTGTGAGCGCACAGTATATAAATGAAATCAAGCAATGAATGTTTTGTTTTTAATTTTGGTTGTTCTTACTATGTTTTTATTCTGTTTATGACTGTTAGCCACCCAGAGTCACACATATGAGATGGGTGGCCATATAAATGTATTAAATCAATCAATCAATCAATCCTAGGAATTATTTTGAATGAAGTTACAGTGGGAAATAGCATAAGTACAAGTTAAATGATTCTATGTCATGGGCTCTTTTTTAACCTCCTATGGTTGGAGCAAGATTTAGAAGATGATATAGAATGTAGCCTTTGATTAAGGGCTTTTTCTTTTTGTGTCTTGTAGCCAGAAAACCTTCTATATACCTCAAAAAGGCCTAATGCTGTATTAAAACTTACAGACTTTGGCTTTGCTAAAGAAACCACCACACATAACTCCCTAGCTACACCATGCTACACACCATACTATGTGGGTAAGTAAACTTACTATGTGAGTAATTTGTGAACACAATGTCCTTCTGAGGTTGAATCTTACAGGCTTCTACCATTATATTTTCAGAGAGACAAGAGCATGTGTATTGCTCTTGAGTTCTGAAAATACCTGGCATGGAACAAGGATCAAGATGTTCAAGAATGCAACACAGCACTTTGTAGGATTTGGTGCATAATTTCTAGGGCTACTATATTTAGGCTGCAAATCTCCAGACAACCATTGGGTGGCAGCCAGGTATTTCTGCATTCTTTGAAAGTTGTGGAAGTAGTAGTGCCAGAGTATTATAAAACTGAAACATATTTAATATATGGAATATATGAATATTAGTGAAAGTTAAGAAATGCTCCTTAGTTTTAATTACAGCACACCTAAATGTGAGCAGATTGAAATCAAATCTGACAATTGTCCTGCTCTACTTATTTATTCTGGGTACACCTAACATTTGGAGTGAGGTTGCCAGCATGTTACCCAAAGGCCAAGTATGTCCTTTGGCCTGCAAAAATGGGCAAAACAACTCATCAGTAGATTTAATCCATCTAATTTTGCCAATAACTAATTGGGCAAACAAGCATGCTTCTGATGTTTGCACTTCTGTTTTCAGTATGGATTGTTTATGCAGAATTGAACCCTCTGAGCCAGATTTGCTTTTATATCCAGAAGATGGTTTTCAACTATAGGTAGTCCTCGCTTAATGACCACAATTGGGGCTGGAATTTAGGTTGCTAAGAGATTCGGCCATTAAGTGAATCATCACGTGCCCGCTTCACTTAGCGACTGCAATCCTGGCACTCCCAGCTGCCATCATTAAGTGAGAATTGCAGGTCATTAGGCGAGGCAAGTTCCTGCTGGCTTCCCACAATCAAGTCAGTGGGGAAGCTGGCAGGAAATTGCAAGCCCCAGGTGCTGCTGGGTGGGGGAGGAGGGAGGGAAGGGGTGTGGGGGAGGGTCGGGGAGGCTGCATGGGGGTGTGGTGCGGGTTGGGTGCATGAGGGCCTCAGAGCCACTTGGATTTTCAGCCCCAGAGTGGAGAGGCTTCTGACGAGCTCTCCACTGTGGAGCAGAAAATCCTCTGTGGCTGAAAATCCTGCTTGGA